AAAACAAACCAAAAAGAAAGAAAGATTAAAAAAGAAAGAGACTGGCTGATCTCTACGGTGACCTGCATTTCTAAACTATTATTGGGAAGTCTCAAACACCACACATATTATATAATAATAATCATCATGTGCCATATCTGCGGCAGACATCGGAGACCATGTTTAAGGTTAGGTGCAAGAAAGAAAGGAAAAGTATAGTAGGCATCTAGTTGAAAATAAAGGCGATTAACTTTAAAGAAAAACAACCATTACTAATGTAAGTAACTAGAAAACATGATAATAGCATGGTTACAAAACAAAAGTAATATTCAGAACTAGAAAAGAAAGAAACCGTATTTCTTTCTCACGGGACATGAGGTAAAGTATAGAACTAGAAGGTTCTCCATCCATTCCCTTGCTCGGATGCTCTTTTAAAAGCTACCTTACCCTGACCTTTCCCAGTTACCCATCTGTTTAGCTTCTTCAATAAGGTTGCTCTAGGCCTACCCCTGGCTCGTTTGCCTTCAATTTTGCCAGTAGGAGCTAGATGGTTAGGCGTCACAAAAATTGCAGTAAGATTTGTCTTTTCCTGATTGTTTTTATCAGTGAGCGTCCCACGTGGTCTTCTTCTAGTACTGCTTCGATTTCTTTCCCTTCCACAATATTCCCAGCAGTCTCCTAAGAAACCACATTTCTGTTGTTTCTATTTTATTTTTAATGCTTTTAATGGTTGTCCAGCTTTCCCAGCCATACAGAAGGGTTGACCATAGATATATATTTGAGAAAATAATTCCGTTTGGGGGGTTTTAATAAGAGTTTTACGGCATTTGTAACACAATTAGCTTACATAAGTGCAGAAGATAAGACGTTTTGCAAGAAAGTAACAAGCACAAAATGGAAGAGAGATAAGGATGATAGATGTTTCATACGAAAGAAGGAGCCAACCACACCAGAGCAATCGCAAATTGCCTCCCACTTCCTGTTTCTTATATTACGTTTCCATGTCTGAATTTAGAGTAAGTCCTATTGTCTTCCAATAAAAAAACAACCTTCGATTTTCCATTTGTATAATAGTGCATGCTTATTTAGAACACATTTCTATTTCAAACACTCTAATCTCATCACACGTTGTTTGTTATCATTTAAAATCACTACTGACATAACCTATGCTGACTGAAAGCAGCAAATGACGACCGTTGAACAGTTTCTGGCTGGTGGAACACCCGATCATGTGAGAGGGGTATCCATAATTCAGCGGGTCTCACCCGCTCTTCAATTATCATGGGATCATGGCTTTGTACAGAAACACGATCGTTAGCTTTGTTTCGTGGTCATTCATTAGATAGATTTTGGCAAGTATCCTTTATAGAAACCACACGGAGCTGTGGGCATGGTGGCACGGCATGGGCTGACTGTTGAAGCAAAGAGACACACAGAAACCACTTGAGTTGTGGACAAAATTCTTTAAAAAATCTGAAAATCTGGTTTGGAGGACTTGTGTATTATGTTTTACTTTTAATCCCTCTCCAGATCTCTCTCTCTCTCTCTCTCTCTATCTCTCTCTCTCTCTCTCTCTCTCTCTCTCTCTC